CCAAATTCAAACACAGAAAACCTGTGAGTATGTTGCCTTACATAGCAAAAGAGATACTGCAAACAAAGTAAGGACTTGAAATGGGACATTCTCCTGGGTTATCCAGATGGGCCCTCAATATAATCAGAATGGTCTGTACATAGAGGCAAGAGGGTCATATAAGGGAGAAGTTGATATGGTGATTGAAACGGAAACTTCAGTGATACAGCTAGGAGCAAAGATCTTCAGAACTGTAAGATAATACATCTGTGCTGTTTTAAGCCATTATGCCTGTGGTTCATTTGCTACAGAAGCCATAGGAAATGAAAACATATATCCTTCCAATTAGCAATGTAATTACATGGGCTAACTAACCTCCTCTTACCAATTATTAAATATCAATCAAACGGGAAGATTTGATTTGCCATTTGTAAATGCCTTTGCCAGTAACTTCACATCTAGAATATTTTTCCTGAGGATATTTATACAATATATCTCTCATCTATTAAAAAGAATGACAAAGATCTATAAGCACTGACCTATATGCTGAGCTGTAGATGATATATCATGTAAAAAATAATGAGCAGCAGAAGACATGCAGGAACTAGGTGTGCATCGCAAGTGGCTTGGAAGGATATAGACTAAAAAGACAAGTGTAGTTATCTCTAGATAGTGGGATTACAGGATGGCCTTCATTTTCTCCAATATTGGATTAGTCTTTTTTTCTTTTTATAATGAACATTTATTATTTTTCCAAGCTGAAAACTGATGGAAAATGTTTTGGACAAAATAAAGGTTTTATTTCTGCACAGAGAGTTAATTTAATTAACTTAGGATCACTGTACTTGACACCCATATCTTGCTACCACCCCTCATAACAGGGTCCTTCATTTGCATCATATCACTATCAAAATCACAACCAGTCTATTTTATGGGAGAAAGTAGGGCAAAATCAAGAGTCAGGAGACCACAAAATTGAACATATGAGCTTCCATCCTCTCTTGGAGCCAGTCCTGCCTCCTGTCTGTCAAATATTTCAGTTGGTGGCACCACCAACTGCCCAGCCGCCTAAGCCAGAATTTCAGAGTTGTTTTTAACTCTTGACATCCCACATTCCATCATTCACACCAAATTCTCCCATTCTATGCTTTCAGTTTTTCTTAAATCTGTCCCTTGTCCTCTGGTCCCATTATTAGTAAATTTAGACTACCCCAGATTATTATAACCCTTCTAACTGAGTTCATTGCCTCTATACTATATTTGCCCAACTCTCCTCTTCAGTGGCCAAAAAAAAAAAAAAAAAGAAAGAAAGCTGTTACCCTTCTACTTACAACACTTCATGGGCTCCTGATTCTGGGCTAACAGCCCTCCAAAGGACCTGCCATGGTATTTCATTATCTGGCATTTCCATCTTTCTGTCTTGTTTTTCTTACTACTCCCTTACCAGGCCTCATATATTCAACTGTTATAATCACACAGACCTTGTCTCCCATCGCCAAGCCTCTAGACATACAATTTCTCTGCCTGGCAAGTCTACCTTGTCCAGTCAGTACCTCTTCACCCTTCAGGATCTTCAGGATTTGGCAAGGTGAGGAGTTGCCTCCTCTGTAAAGATTTGGCTGAGTCAGGCTTCTTCCCTAAACTCTCATGGAACCTTGTAACATATCATGGTATAGCTGTGAATAAAAACATCCACCATTATATTATGATTACCAGCTTATGGAATTGGCAGTCCCACCCTTATCCAAATGATGAACCTCTAAAGAAAACACTATTTCCCATTTATGTTTGCATCCTCCTGCATACAGTGACTGGCATAAATAGGCAATTAATAAGTTGTTGCTAAATGAATTAACAAATGAATGAGTAGCTAACTTTTATTGGAAGCTTACTCTGAAACCGCCATAGGTTATACATTTTCTAACTGAATCCTTACAAAACTTTTATGAGCTGGGTACCACTATTATTCACATCTGTAGACAAAAAAAAAAAAAAAAAAAATGAAGCACAGAGGGTTACACAAATTTTCCAAATTCACTCATTTAGAAATTGCATATAAACTAAAACAGCCTAACTCCAGGATTTTAATCTCAACACTGCAGCAATTGAATGAATGAGCAACTTCCCGACCCTTCCTGTTAGTGTCCAACATGTAAGACTGGCCTAATCCTTACCCTGTCAAGGAGAGAGACACGTCCAATCCCCTATTCTTTATTCCTTCTTGCTTTGATAGCAGAGTGAAAAATTGAGAAGGGGTGTGATTAAACAGAGCATAAGGTGAGAACCCACTGACAGCTAGAGGGAGAAGAGGCAGAAATAGGCTTCAGGTTATTAAGTAGAGTGTTAATTATTCATTAATAGTAAGTTGCAGCTCTTACCCAGCAGCTATCCCATAAATGGCATAACAGGAGAAAGGAAAAGAAGTGTTTTCGATTAAGCATTTCTTAGATCTAAGTTAAAAAGACAGCATCCAAGATGAATTTCAAGCCCTCACCACAGTGATTCTTAGAGTTTTTCCATAAACATCAGTGCCACAAAACCTAAGCTAAAGAGAACGCCTTTAATTCCAATGGCATTCATTAACCATTTCTACTTAGCGATACACAGAATCAGCTGCTTCTTGTCACTGTGTATGGTGTCCAGGAACGTGGAACATTCTGAAGTCTTCCCTGGTGGGAATGTGTGAGAAACAGATAATATATACTCATCTTACAAGAGAGACACAGAAGCTCTGAGAGGTTGTCATTTGGACAAAGTTTCATGGTAATGTAATGTTTGGCTCTCAAATCCCAAAACAATCTTGAACGACCTGCCTCTCCATCATGGTAGAAATGACCAAACAGGGACAATTTCCTTTATGATAGACCGTTGAAATCATTATTTTCAGAATGATACTTGAAAAAAAGTGCATTTCCAGAAAGATCTCAAAAACCTAAAATCAAAGTACAATATATAAAAAATTTAGATAAGGGGAAGGATACATATAAGGTTAGTACGTCCATCTTTGTTGAAGCAGAGTGAGGCAGGAATTCTGGATTTCAGGTGGCAAAAACCACCCAAACTTAGATGTTAAGACTTTAAAGGAAGAACTTAGAAGTTCATATCACCAGACAAAAGGGAGAGAAGTGTGGGCGTAGCCAGAACCAGAGACTTAACTGCAACAGAACTATCTCCATCTTTGTTTCTGAAATGATGACATCCATGAGGAAATGGACTGGTCTCATTTTTATCATAGGTTGGTGCAAAAGTAATTGTGGTTTTTGCCTTTAATGGTAAAAACTGCAATAACTTTTGCACCAACCTAATATTAGGACTGTGATTGATGGTTAATGGAGTAATGGAATCCCCTATAGCTTTTAAGCAACTCTGTATTTTCTTGAAAAGATATTTGTTTCTGAAATACAATGGAAGTGACTCCAGCAAGCAAGGTAGTAGTTACAGGTCATTAGCCAGCTCACCCCGATCCTTATTGCTGCATAAAAGCAATTTATATTCCCACAAATAAAAATCTTTGCAATACCTTTTCTCTAAATATATGACTAAAGATTAGTAGCAGATTCTTTCCTTTATAAACAACTGCTATGTGCCTTGACATTAGTTATCCGTGAGACCTTTGAAAAATCATTTAACTTTTCCATGCTCCAAGATTCTCATCTGTAAAATGATGAAGTTGATCCGGTCCCTTCTGGCACCAACATTGTGTAAAGAGTATTGTTCTTTCAGGTGGAGCCAAAGTAAATTCTGCCATCAAAAAATAAATAAAGGAATCTCTCAGTGCAAGTCTGCTTGCAGGTAAAGCTATTTTGGAAACCATAGTCACTCTTTTAGGCCAACAGAAATCACATTCATTTATCCTTCAGTCTAGGTAGAACTCGGAAAAACTTTGAAGGTAGCCATGTTTGACCCAAATGATTGCAAGCTTCTCTGTCAGGGGCTTTTTATACTTTCTATCCCCTCTACCCCCTTCTTAGCTGCCATGATGTTCACAGCTACTGGTCCTCATTTTATTCCTCAGGGGATCAGGATCCTCTCTCTACACTTATTCCAATGTCCTCTTTGGAAATAATCTGATGAACTGAGAAGCCATATTAAAGCAGAGATTCCCAGGTTCCCAGCACCCACAAACTGACTCCATATTATCTCCCTATCTTTGTACCCCCTGTATATTACTATTATATCCTTAGTGTTAAGTATCTTAATATTAACATTAAGTAGATCATTATCTACTTACTATTTTCTTTTTCATTGACACATTTTTTTTACTTCCTACCAACTTTAGCCTCATTAGAAATAATACACTTAATATACTACATATGTTTTCCTATAAGTCATATTCAAAATACATAACTATTAAAATTATATGTTCACCCGTGAATCACTTAAAATCATGTCACATACCCTTCCCTCAATGGTACTCATTTTACACCTGGGAAATGCTGTATTAACGTATGAATCACAAATTCTTCTTACTAAGGAGATTAGATTTAGATTGAATGAAAATCCCTAACATCTTTTAAACTACTTGCTATTTCCTTATAACAATGTGTATTTCAGAGGCGTCAAGAGATCGATGATGAAGGTTAAAAAAAAACAAATTTTTATAGGACATTAGTCTTAGAGAATGAAAAGACTCCTTAATTGTGACTCAATTCACTCTGGAGTCAGGGAGCTTTCTCCATGCCCCTTAAATAATCATATAGTAATAGGGATGGTAATAATAACAAGAATGATCACTGCATATTAAATGTTGACTACATTTTGGGGTTCAGAGAGCCGCCCTACTTCATCTTATTTGTATTCCTGCCTCCACTGCCGGCTGCCATGTCATACGGAGGACCTGGGAGACCTTTTCCATGCCTGCCCTTATTTTATCTCTAAAAACAAACAGTAGAGGGGGAATAGCCAAACCAGGCTACATGCGCCGGGTCTCTCAGGCTTCAGTGCAAAACCCCATTTCATGCTTCAGAGCCTTGACTGTGACACGGAGCTCAGGTTGCCAAGGGAATGGGAGCCACGCCGTGACGGGCTGACTGAGGCTGAATCGGTCCTATGGGGCAGTGTAGCCACTTTCTGCAGGTGCAGAGCTGCTGTCTGGCTCCTTTTCTGTCTCACACAAAGCAAGCGGAAAGGAGGTAAGATGAATTATACACCTGGCATAATGGTCCATGAGACTCACCAGGATGACCAGGCAGTCCTCATTTCCAGCTGGCCAAAATTTGACACCTTATTTGGTAAACAACATTGGTTTGAGCCTCTTTCAGATAAATCTGGATTTGAGTTCTGGCTCTGCCAGTTACTAAACTCTATTATTTTGAACCAAATTAACATATCTGAGCCTTGATTTCTTCCTTTCTAACAGATACAGACCTCCCTACTTCCTAAGGCCTCTTGATGATTATGATGGAATGACTGTAAAGGACTCTAGGACAGTGTATTAATTTCCTATCCCTGCAGTAACTAATTGCCATAAACTCAGTGACTTAAAACAACACTCAGTTATTAGCTCCCAGTTTGCATGGGTCAGAAGTCCAGGCCCAGTGTGGCTTAGCTGGGTTCTCCACTCTGAGACTCAGGTCAAAATAAAGGTATTGACTGGGTTGGGCTTTTTTATCTAAAGGCTTTGGAAGAGAACCGATTTCCAAGTTCATTTAGATAATTAGCATAATTCTGCTTCTTGTGGCTATAGGTCTGAGTTTCCTGTTTCCTTGCTGGCTGTCAGTCAGGGGCCACAATCTGCTCCTAAAGACCACCCACATTCCTTCTCCTATGTCTCTCTCCATCCTGAAACCAGCAATGTTGCACTGAGTCCTTCTCAACCTTCAGATTTTTCTGACTCCCACCTCTCTGACTTTCTCTTCTGCTTTTAAGGGCTTATGTAATTACACTGGGCCTATCTGGATAATCCAGAATTATCTTCCTGTTTTAAGGTCCACTGACTAATAATTTTAATTTCACTGGCAAATTCCGTTTTGTCATGTAATGTAACATATTTATGAGTGTAACACCAGGTACAAAGGTCAAAGGGACCAAACTTCTGCTTATCATATGCAGGAGTTACTCTCGCCTAATTCTTGTTCATGGGCCCCTCTACAAGGGAGTGCAACTTACTTACTCTGACTGCTGAGAACACAGAGGAGTTCAAAAACAGAATAATGATCCCTTTTTAAAATCTTTATAATCGTTCCTGAGTGAGGGAGTTAGTATTATTATTCCCATTCTGCAGATGTTAGAATGTATCAGTAGAGTTTAATATTTTAGAATGTAAGGCAAGAACAGAAAACCAAATACTGCATGCTCTCAATTATAATTGGGAACTAAACCTCAGGTACTCATGGACAAAACGCTGGAAACAATAAACACTGGGGCTACTAGATGAGGGAGAGAAGGAGGGAAGCAAGGGCTGGAAAACCCCAAATCTCAGCATCACACAATGCATCTTTGTAACAAACCTGCACATGAATCACCTGATTCTAAAATAAAATTTGAAAAAGAAAAAATAGGCCGGGCGCGGTGGCTCAAGCCTGTAATCCCAGCACTTTGGGAGGCCGAGACAGGTGGATCATGAGGTCAGGAGATCGAGACCATCCTGGCTAACACGGTGAAACCCCATCTCTACTAAAAAATACAAAAAACTAGCCGGGCGAGGTGGCGGAGTCCCAGCTACTCGGGAGGCTGAGCCAGGAGAATGGCGTAAACCCGGGAGGCGGAGCTTGTAGTGAGCTGAGATCCGGCCACTGCACCCCAGCCTGGGCGACAGAGCAAGACTCCGTCTCAAAAAAAAAAAAAAAAAAAAGAAAAGAAAAAAAAGAAAAAAAAAAAAAAGAAAAAATAACAATAAATGAAAGAATTAAAAATAAAACAATTCCAGAGTATGGGGGGAAAGATACAGATTACTCTCCTCAGTGGGATATTTGGCAAGAAACAGTGGAGCTGTAAGTTGTGACCTCCTTGGGGTCACACGATCTTACTCCAGATCTCAGTATTTCTGAAACTGAGAGGCATAGAAAGATGAATCTCTTATTCGTGGTTCTATCAGTTGTAAATAATGGAAATTCCCTTAATAAAATATAAGTTGAAAAAGGAAAAAGTATTTTAATGTACAATGTTAAGGGTGCAAAGGGATCTCACATAACCCATATCTGGAAACTGGAAACAAGAATGAGAAAGCCTCCAAAATCCATGCCGCCACTCCTGCTTCATTCTTTCGAAATCTGCTTCATTCTTTGCTCTTGGCCAGCCTGCTTGTTTGCACAGGTCTACACCCACCCTTCCCCCAAACCCAAAATGTACCTGTCTGAAGTTCAAGTGGCCAATTCTAAATTCAAGGGAGGGAATTTAAGTCAGCTATCCATTACTAGTCTCATCAGGTATGACCAGAGAGGCAAGGCCACAAAGGATAGACAGGATTGCTGGGTCCAAGAGTGTGTGTGAATGTGGGTGAGGATCTGTGATTGGGCTCCTGATTCTGGGCTAACAGCCCTCCTCTTAGGGAGGCAGAGGCCATGAGCTAGCTGGACATTGCCAAAGAGGTTTTCTCAGATTTCTGCTCAGTAAGGCCAGAGGTGAAAGGATCCACTCTCTCTGCACATTTTGTGAACAATTCCACTTCCTATAAGTGAGAGTCTGATTGGATCTGATCGCCACCATCCATCTGAGTGACCCTATTATGCCACCAACTTGTCCTAAGTAGCCTTTGAGGTGACTGGGTTTCCTTTGCACCCAGCTTATATACGGCTGATCTCGGTTTGCACACCTACTCGGTCACTTGTGACTAGGAGAGCAGTATTTTTTTTTTCTGGATACATAGTGTGGACCCTAGGGATTATGCTTAAAAGACGACCTCAGGGCTCCATAGAAGAGGGTCACAGGCATAGCAGCATCTTGAAGCTTCATAGATTGCCTGCAAACATAGAGTTAGCTAATAGCTGAGCTGGGTCATTACTCCAGGTTTTGGAATTCCAAACTCCTTACTCTTCCAATTCACTATCTTAGAAAAGTTATTGGAATTTACGAGAACTGATCACAACTTGATGCTGTCTTTACAACAAAAAATGATAGCAAAGGATGTCACGGGAGAAAAGGCTTGCTTATGTAATGTGTGGCACAAAAATCAGTGGCTGGCCATTTAATATCCTTACATCCTTCTTTGGGATCCACAGCTCAACAAGACTCTGAAGGGGAGTTTTTTGAGCATCAGTAATTTCTAGCAGGCATATCTTCGACAGTGTACTTTAGATTGCAGGTGTTATCACAGTTTTTGTCATAGGCCAGCTTTTTGATGACTAACAACAACCACAATAACTCATTTTTACCAAGCATTTCTTGGTATCAGGTAATCTGCTAATCTAGGGAAATATGTACATATGTGTAAGTATACATTCCAAGTATGCAAAATATGCAAATGTAGAAAGTAAATAAATAAAACAGTAAAAAGTTTATCTCCTCCCATCTCAACCTCATGATCCCTTCCCAAGGGCAAACTTTACTACCAGTTTCTTAAGTGTCTTTCTAGCACGAATGTTTATATAAACAAGCATAAATAAATAGCTCACAATTTTTATACCAATGGCAGAACAATAGTCACACATTTCTTCACCAGTCTTTTCTACTTAATAGTAAATCTGAAAATTGTTCAACTTGGTACGCACAGATAGGCTACAGTCTTTATAACAAACAAACAAATAAATAAATAAATTCTCTAATATGCTTTCACCTGCTCCACAAACTCTAATCCTTTACTGAGTTGTCCATTGATTGCAACTTGGTGCAGATAAAAACATTCATTTGAATCATGAGAAAATTCAGCGTTCTGTCTAATTGCTATTCACATCCCATTGCCTTTTCCATTACCTGAAACACAAGGATTTTTTAAGAAAACAACAGGCTAAAGTAACCTCAAGCAACGAATAAATAGTATTGATCCCTATTGGTTTTGTTCCTGAAGATGCATGTAATTAGGTTACCTGAATTTCAAATGGGAATAGGAAGCAAGTAAGAAAAAAATGTTCAAGCAACATGTGGTTAATTAGTTTACAACTGTCTCTCTCTCTTTCTCTCTCTCTTTCACTAACTTGAGAACAAAAAAGTTCCCTATTGATCTAATTAGAAGGGTGATTGAATAAATAAACAAATGTTATTTAAATAAGCTTCACAATTGAACGTAAGACTGTTTAGAGGACTTGACTGCACAAATGAATTATCTTTTTCTACCAAACCCACTCCAGTACAAAATAAAATATTAGCTATGGCAAATCAGAATATCCCCAAGGGATATCTTTTAAGCCCTCTTCTAGAAAGAATATCTCACAACAAGAAAGTTTGAGTATAGAAAGAGTTGTCCTGGAAATTATTAAAAATCACAAATGGAAAGGCTTCTGGGATAGATAAGCTCACTTCTATGCTTGTCGCAATGACAGCTCGTCATCAAAGAAACAAGAGAGATATAAAAGCAAAAAAAAAAAAAAAAAAAAAAGAGGATTTGCTCTGCTCTGTATTAACCTGCACCCAGTTTTGAAAGCAATCTCTAATGATAATTACTAAAACAGCCATAAGTAGGATTCATTTAGATTCTATGAAATCAACATACTACCCAGATTGCTTAAAGTAAAAAAGAGAACAGAAAAAAAAATTAGCATGGAACCTTTCTTGATATGACTGCAGAGCTTCTGATAATCCGCTAGCATCACCTATCAAATGAAAGGTTCATCTGTTTATCTTCAGTTGTGTTACTTGGAACAATTCCTTTCCCAAATAATTATAAGGCAATTACTTGCCAGTTTTCACTTTATTGGTTACTACTTTTACTCAAAGAATAGCAATTACTACATAATTGCAGTACATGGTTATCTGAACCGTCCTAACTGTGCCTACCAACCATAAATTATACAGTCAGTATAACTCTAATTATATATGCTACAGAGTATAAATATATAATGACTATGTAGTTACACATTAATAAGTCCCACTTTATTTTACAGAATCTAGTACCATAAAATGCCACTGGATCTACTTCGATGTGATAACCTGTGGAGTCATGCTTGCTTATTGTTCTGTTCAGCTTTCTGGAAGCCAGTGGACTACAATATATGTTCGGCATTGCCCACCCATTTTTAATTCATCCAAGTACACTCACTAAGGCAGAAAGAAAACAAAAAAATGAAAAAGTAACATTTTTTTTTCTAACCCTCCTTTCTAGTGTGTGTCCTTTCCAGTGGCACATCAGCAATTGTGGCTTAGATTCAAGAACTGCAGGTGCAGAAGCTTGACCGTGCCACCAGAGCCGTACCTTCACCTAGTCATTGCACGCAAAATGCCTGGATTCAAAAGCATGGAAGGGGCTTGAATTTGGTTTGGACCATGATTTTGTTGTTTATGTTTTTAGGATATTATTTTCATTCCAAAAGTGACCATAGGAAATCAAATGTCTGAGAACAAAGGGCTTAAGAATGCAATCATCTAACAAACATTAAAAAGTCCCCTTTATTATAGAACTAAATTTCACACACACAAAAAAATCTGAAATGAATAAAATAAATATGTCACCACCAAACTAAATAAAGCCCATCAACCTGCATTACACCTTGACTACTACCCAAAATTTGAGAACAACAGATAGCACATTTATCATAATAGCAGGACAAATAGTTGCAGGGAATGTATGCCAGGGAAAAGCTTCAAAGAGGCAGAAGACAAGGGAAAAGATAGTGGCTCTCCCAGCAGTAACTGATGATCTTCAGGAGGTGTCACACTGGGGACAAAGATCCTGACATGCACATGTGAAATGAGAATGAAATGAGAGTAGGCAATTTAGCACCAATTTCCTACACTCGGGCACCCACCCTCTCCAGAGGCAATTGTTCTCCCTGAAAACTCCCTCCTTTCCAGTTTGACTCTGATGTTCCTGAAGCAGAGATCATTTGAACTTATCACGTATTCATATCCTAAGGGAGAGTCTGTCACAAAGAAACAGGAAGAGGCAGGTGCAGAGAGCACCTATGCCTGGTTAGAGAGCTCCAGTCGCTAAAATGGGGCCACCATAAGCAGAAGGACGGTGATGAGATAAATCAGATACAGTATTGGTCCTTGCCTCCCTGAAGACTGACTTTGAAATCTGGATTCACTTTAGCACACACACACACACAAATGCTTTTTAAAAAAAATTGAGACGGAGTCCCCCTCTGTCACCCAGTCTGGAGTGCAGTGGCACGATCTTGGCTCACTGCAGCCTCTGCCTCCCGGGCTCAAGTGATTCTCATGCCTCAGCCTCCAGAGTAACTGGAATTACAGGTGCTTGCCACCATGTCTGGCTAATTTTTGTATTTTTAGTAGAGATTGAGTTTCACTGCATTGGCCAGGCTGGTCTCGAACTCCTGACTTCAAGTGATCTGCCTCCTGAAGTGCTGGGATTATAGGCATGAGCCACCGTGCCTGGCGTATAAAACCATTTTTTAATGAACAAATGAGTGACCAAATGAGAGACTGTATAGAAGTTTTCAGTGGAGGAACAATGTAAAACAAATGGAAAGAACTTAAGGAAAGAGAAATGACTTCCAAAGTAGATGTTATTATATGCCAATCACTTTACATACACTGTCTTCTTAAATCATTAGAAGAATTCTGTGTGGTGCATTTTATTATTCACATTAAACTGATAAGGAAGCTGAGGCTGGGATGAGGAAGTCATTTGCCTGCTATCACACCCCTAGTCAGTGGCAGGGCTCGGGTTTGAGCTCAAGTGTGTCGGACAGTACTGCCTATGCTCTTTCAGTTATGACAACCACATCCAACAACACCCTAAACTAACTTTTAAGGAGTACTTACTAGGTGCCAGGTGCTTTTCACACATCATTTTCTTCAATCAATTTAAATAACCCTTAAAAATAATCATATTATTTTAAATATCATATTATTTAAATAATATGATATTATAAATATCAGTAATCATATTATTATTCCCAGTCCAAAGATGAGGAAACTTAGAACCTCAAGGCAATGATCATTCTTGCCTAAGATGGCATAGTAAGCCCTAAAGCTGAGATTCAAACCCAGAGCTAATAGCAAAGCCTCTGTCATTAATCACCCCACTCTTCCACTCTTAAAACCAGAGATCCAAAGGGAAGAGGTGATTTCCTGCCAGAACAGAGTTTATATCTAGAGGAGGATCTATCGCCTTCCCAGAGGAATTCATTACTGAATTATATTCAAATAGTAAATGAACATATCTTCCTCTCCATATCTGAATCACCTATCTTCTCTTTTTCCTCCAGCTATGCTAGGAATTCAGCTCCATACACCCATGGTAACATGGATATCAACTTTGCCTACTGGGCCCTGAAATTCTTGGGGTCTAAAAGAGTAATTCTCATTTCTGTACCTACAGGGCCATGCACAGAACCTAGGTGAGAGTAGTTGCTCTATTAGTTTGAAGAGATCAATGAGTGAATGAGTGAATGGATGAATAAACGAACAAGCATGGAATTCTAGATTGGAAGGCACTTTAGAGAAAATTGATTACAGTTACCACATTTTACAGAATTATTTTCCTGGATTTGGAGAAATGTTAACTGACTTTCCCAGAAACAAGTGCTAGATAAATATATTATACACACACACACACACACACACACACACACACACACAATAACGCCAGCCTCATAACAACAAAGTAAAATATATAAAATGTGACTCTCTTGGGACTAGACTTTAGATACATTTTGAATATTTTATGGGACTTTTTTAGCTATATAGGCCACAGATTGTGATGAGAACACACCCTAATTTGGCAAGTGTTTTGTATCCATAATGAGATTTCTAAATGTTATCTGTTTTTAGTACATAAAGATATCCTGAGTAAAATATTTAACATAATTGTGGCACTTGTCATACAGTCTTTTCTCCTTCTATACCCCAAAAGGATTGCATAGCCTGAGGTGGTGGTTAGCAACGAAGGGGTTCTGTGTATTTGTATATTTTCATGCATGGATTTATTTTTGAAACACAGAGTTTATGCCTCAGCAGTGAGGAACTCCTGAAATCATGGAGAGACTCAAAGTGGACATAATACATCTGAATCGTTACTTTGCAACTTATCATTCAAACCAGGACCAGGACACAGTTGAGAGTGAAGGGGGATGTTACAAGATAGACGGTCTTCTTGTGCAAATATTTAACCTTTTGTGGTCTTCCACAAGAAGACCATCTACCTTATAACATCCCCAACAATCTAGTACCAGAAATACCATTTGACCCAGCAATCCCATTACTGGGTATATACCCAAATGATTATAAATCATCCTGATATAAAGACACATGTACACGTGTGTTTATTGCAGCAATGTTCACAACAGCAAAGAGTTGGAACCAACCCAAATGCCCATCAGTGACAGACTGGATAAAAAAAATGTGGCACATAAACACCATGGAATACTATGTAGCCATAAAAGAGGATGAGTTTGGCCGGGCACCATGGCTCATGCCTGTAATCCCAGCACTTTGGGAGGCAAAGGTGGGCAGATCACGAGCTCAGGAGTTTGAGACCAGCCTGGCCAATATGGTGAAACCCGATCTCCACTAAAAATATAAAAATTAGCGGGGTGGGTTGGTGTGTACCTATAGTCCCAGCTACTTGGGAGGCTGAGGCAGAAGAATCGCTTGAACCCAGGAGGTGGAGGTTGCAGTGAGCCAAGATCGTACCACTACACTCCAGCCTGGGCAATAGAACGAGATTCCATCTCAAAAAACAAAACAAAAAAAATTTAAAAAAAGGATGAACTCATATCCTTTGCAGGGACGTGGATGAAGCTGGAAGTCATCATTCTCAGCAAACTAACACAGGAACAGAAAATCAAACACCGCATGTTCTCACCCACTAGTGGAAGTTGAACAATGTGAACACATGGACACAGGGCAGGAACATCACACACTGGGGCCTGTCGGCGGGTGGGAGGCTAGGGGAGGGATAGCATTAGGAGAAATACCTAATGTAGATGACGGGTTGATGGATCCAGCAAACCACCATGGCACGTGTATACGTATGTAACAAACCTGCACGTTCTGTACACGTATCCCAGAACTTAAAGTATAATTAAAAAAAAAAAAGATAGAGGGTCACACTTTTTATCTGTTCACATTTACACAGGAATGCTAACTAGGTTTTCATTGAAAGTAAGGGATATGGTTCCAAAAATCAATGGGGAAGACATTCTGGGTATGGGCCAGGACAAGGACAGAAGTTTTGTGATTTGTCACCTTTGAGGAATTTGAGAATCAGATTAAAATCACAGATCTTCTCTACTAGACAATGCACATACACACAAGGCTTTGCACAAATTTTCAGAGGGGCACATCCATTGACTTCTAGCCTCTAGAATAAGACCCCTAGATAAAGAATCCTGACTCTATAGCAGGGTTTTTTAGCTTTGACTTTACTGACATTTGGGGCCAAACAATTCTTTGTCACTGGAGGTTGTAAAGTGCAAGGCAGCATGTTTAGCCACATGACTGGCTTCTGCCCACTAGATGCTAATAGCACCCCATCCCCAGTTATGACAACCAAAAATGTCTCCAGATATTGCCAAGTGTTGCAGGGGCCATATTGCCCCCACTTGATATCACTGTTCTAGAGATAGAAGCATGAAAATTGCATGTAAAGCATTAAAAAGCAGTTATAACTTACTGTGATACAACACACAGCAAACTTCTCATTAGCATAAGAAGCAATGGTCATGCAATGTAAAAATCCCCAAAACTCCCCCTTTCAATCTGTCTATGACTTTAATTCATTACTGATATGGCCATTCTCTTCACAAAAGAGGGTTAATGATGACCTACTTAGAACAATTTGGCTCCACTGAAGAGTCCCTACCACTTCATGCCACTATCTGACAGGTGCTGAGTGGAAATGCTTCTACAGAAAACATTCTGAAGTGTTTATAATGCAGAGAACTTATAACCTAAACTGTGAGAAACAATCTGGGAGGCTGTTCCATTTATAATCAGTCCTATAGAGACCGGGCACAGTAGGCACCTGGAGAAATGTAATTTCCGATGCAGTATTTATTGGGTATGACTGCATCGTCAATCTTTTCTTATTTGAAAAATAAGGGAGTGGCCACTTTCTGAACCTTCTGAACCTCAGTGTCCTTTGTGTACTCAGAGTAGGCAGCTAGACAGCAAGTCTCAAGAGTGGGTCTGCAGATTAGTACTTGATAAGCTGCCTAGGACACCTGCTATGATCACATAGTTTATATCCACTCCCTACACTCATATGGGGAAATCCTGGCCCTCAAGGTGATGGAACTGGGAGGTAGGGCCTGTGGGAGGCAGAGCTCTCATGAATGGGATTAGTGACTTTATAAAAGAGGCCCAAAGGAGCTCATTAGTTCCTACCATCTAAGGGTGCAGTGAGAAGACAGCCCCAAAAGTAGGTCTTCACCAAACACAAAATCTGCTGGCACCTTGATCTTGGACTTCCCATCCTCCCAAACTGTGAGAAATAAATTTCTGTAGTTTATAAGCCCCCAGTTTGTGGCACTGTGGTTTGGTAGCCTGAAAGGACTGAGACAGTACTTTTGTGGAATTTACTAACAGGGCCATTGGGGAAGAGGAGCAGACATTAAGTGTACCACCTGACCAAAAGTCAGTTTTGTTTACTCTGTTGGTGACATTTCAATATGACAACAGCTTTAAAATATGGAAATAGCTTAAAACTCTCACCACCTTTGCATTTCTGCAAACACCTATACCCAACCCCTGTAAATTCCATTTCAGTTGGTCTTCAATAGGGCCTAAGCCTCTGCATTTTAAAACACAGTCTAGGCGGTCAGGCACAGTGGCTCATGCCTGCAATCCCAGCACTTTGGTAGGCCAAGGCCGCAGGGTCATTTAACATCAGGAATTTGAGGCCAGCCTGAACAACACAGTGAGAGCTCGTCTCTACAAAAAAAAAAAAAAAAAAAAAAAAAAAAAAACAGAATTATCTGGGTGTGGTGCCATGTGCCTGTAGTCCCAGCTACTCTAGAGGCTGAGGCAAAAGGAACACTTGAACCCAAGACTTCGAGGCTGCAGTGAACTATAATTGCAACACTGTGCTCCAGCCTGTGTGGCAGAGTGAGACTCAAAATAAAAATTAATTAATTAATTAATTAAAAGCATTCTATGTGATTCTGAGCAGATGAGCAGGTGTCCTTGGGGTACACTTTAACAAGGAGGGCTTTGGTGCAAAAGAGAAGAAAGAAAAATATACCTTTCCTAGGATGTTAGACAAAGGGAAATACAGAGAATTGTGCATATTTGAAGAGTTAAAGCTATAATATTTTCCTTCACCTCTTTCTCCACCTAGCAAACTCCTGCCTATTCTTTGAGGCCCAGCTCAAATGTTACATCCTCCGTTCTTTAGACAGTCTTCTATTCATCAGTTATTGCACCATCCACTAAGCTGTGAGTTTCTGGAGAGAACATACCTTGGTTATATTTAATTTATCTCTGCCTGCCCAGACTCTACTACAGCGCCTGGCACCAGGCACATTCAATATCTTTGATAGCTAGAGTGTTTTTATTTTATACCTTTTTTCCCTGTTACAATTCATCCCAGAAGACTCTAGATTTCAAGAAAAGGTCATAGATTCTGATTCTACATCGCCTAAGATTATATTCTGGAGCAACACCCAAGATGAGCAGGAATTGCTCTTGAGCTATGGAAAGGTAAAGGTCTCACCCCTACCTGCCTTGGTTTCCATCCCCTCATACTAGGAAGCAGTGGCTGCACATGGAGCACTGGGATGGATTTCCTCCCTATTTAACTCTTTAGCTGAATGCCAGTAAGCAGGGAACACCCTGAAAAATCACAAGTGACTGGCAGCCTTGCGATGCATCTCTTTTTTCCTTACATGGGCAAAGCTGAAGTTGATACGAGTATAAGAAGTTGTAACCTCAAAGAGTAACTCATCTCCTAATCCAAGGGTCCTTTTCCTTAGGTTCAAAGGGCCAAGGGATACTCAAAGTAATACCTAGAAGCAGTAAACTTCTAGGTATTACCATTTCCATGAAATGGAAAAGCCACTGAGAGCTTAAATCATATTCAAAGATTGTTACCTAATCTCTTTGATCTGAGTCATTTAATTGCAAGAAATGTGACTGTGTGCCTTATTAATAAAATAAAGAAAATCAAGACAAGAGAAGAGAAGGGGAAAAAGAAGGGAAGGGAATGGAGAGAAGGGCATGAAAAGGAAGGAAAGGAAGGGGAAAAGGGAGGGGAGCTTATTGTCATGTTTGTTTTCAGCATTAGGTGTTGGGGAGAAAGTATGTAGTCCTTTCCCAGCCTTTCTCCCCACAGGAAGAAAGAGGAATAAAGGAAGAAAATTTACATTTCAATTCTATCTCCAGTGATTTGACAAGGATTAAGCTAAATGAATCACCATTTGCAAAGAAAGCAGCCTAAGTAAATAAAAACTCCTGGGATGCAGACAAATACACGTTAGGAACTGAAGCCCTTCTTCCAATGGGCAGTAAACCCAGCACTGAAATTCAAGTGAAAATTCTGAAACTGACCTTTCAGAACCTTTCTGTATGGTTGTCCCACTTGTCTTCTTTCTCTTCTTACACAATGAAATTTAGATGGGTTTCATGAAAAAACTGAAGACCATTTGTTCTATTGCAAATATACAAAGGAGATCAAAGGTTTGTTTGAATGAGTGACTTTTCAACCTGCATATACTTCTATATGCAAACGACACATACTTACTCAGAGAAAAAGCATACTCGTTAAAATTTCCTGAGTCGTATATTCAGAGAGATTTTTTTCAAACTTCTCATATGAGACATAAAGGTATAAAAGTTAAAATATGGACAGTGTAAAGTAAAGATAGCCAAGCATGTATATTTCATTGAGTGAGACTGTCGTAGCTTTTAACCATGTTATGTGGGTGTTATAAGTTTAAAACATGGCCCTGGCTTAAAAATTTTGTAATCTTCTTAGGAATAAGATAATCACATATGAAACAAGAGTGCAATAAACTCAGTAGAATTCACAACTTAATTGTGTTCTACAAGCTCCAGAGAAGGGAGGTCAATAAGGGCTAAAATTTCTCCCTTCAATGTCTCGGAAGCTACACAGATATTTCTCCCAAATGAGTTGACCTTACTAGATTTAAGCTGATTTATAAGAATAGATAGGATTTGTATAGCAAGAATGGAGCAAAAAGGACATTCTGGGCAAGGGTAGTAGCTAGAGCAAAAGAAAAAGGGAGCCAGAAATCACCCTGCTGTCTTCCTAATACATCCCTGAGAATGCCTTGAACAAATGTGGAAGAAAGCAGAGGGAGAAGCAGAGTGGAGATTAGCGATGAAGGACCAACTGTCAGAAACTATCTGTAAAATGGTAGGCTAAAAAAAAAAAAAAAGAAAAAGAAAAAGAAATGATAGGTAGGAGGAGATGTGAGTTTGAGAACTATGAGTGGATATTGAATTTTCTCCCTGCCTGCCATTTTATGGAAGTAAACTAAAGCCCACAGAGGTGAGAGACACTCTATGCAAGGCAGGGTCTTCAGGCTAGCCCACCATGTTCCCACTACCTGTCTCTGTCTCTTCCCAATGGGTGATGCTCCTCCAGAAGTTTCACCTTTCCTAACATCAAAATTTAGTTTGAGATTTCAGAGATTTGACATCCCTCAAATGTAAATTGCTATCTTCTGAATATTCCTTCTGAAGGTCTCTGAACTTAAAAGCAAGAAGACAAATTTTGGAATTTATTTTTCTTTTTTGATGCTGTTCATATTTTTTGTTTTAATCTGCAAAGTTAAGGCCATATGGAGAGCAGCTAACATGATAACAAAAATCTCAAAAAAATGTGTTTGATATTGTTGTCATCTGAAAATTCCTATCTGTATGATGACTGGAGGGCAAGATGACTGGAGGCAAGCCATAAACATGGCAGTAGTACGTCTGTTTCCCAGCTCCAGAATGTTCTAGATGTGTGACTTTGGGTAACTTATTTCATCTCTATGAAATTCAGTTCCTCCATCTGTAAAATTAGGTTGATAAAATCACCCACTTCCTGGGGACGTTGTGAAGACCAAATAAGACAACACATTTAAAGTACTTAGTAAAGGGTCTAACACATATCAAGTTCTCCATAAATGTTAGCTATTCTTAGCTATAATATCATCAAATAAATATTACCTATTATTAATGATATTTTCAAATACATGACACTCTAAACAAAAATTTGAAAGTTAAACCCTAGAATAGCAGAGTCTGTACTGATTTGTATGTCTCATATGAAATTCACTTAGCAACTGACTTTGCTTTCTAGTTAACACATAAAGTTTATTTTTATATTAACGAATAGACAGACTGTACACATGCTTCAGGCTCAGCAAAGCAGGAATCCTCATAAATGACATATCATTTATTCAATGAATGTATTAAGAATTTTGCAATCGGAATGTTTAGAACTAAGATATCTTAATTTTAACATAAAATAAAGCTCTGTTTTATAGTTTACTATTGTTTTCATGTGTGTTTCTTTATGGCAGATAATAATTGCAGAGTTTAGAGGCTCTAAGGATCTTAGGCTGACCACAGGTGGAGGTTCTAAGGATCTTAGGCTAGACAGAGGGTGGAAGGGCCTAGGGGTGAACCCCAGGGATAATATGAAGTCATTGAAAATGTATACAAATCTTGGGTTCTTGAAAACCTTTTGGGAAAAGGTCTACAGATTCTTAAAGGAGTCCATGGCAATAAAAGCTTAAAATATCTGTTGAACCTCAATAAGAGAATGATCAAATCGACATGGTACATATATATATTAAACTTATGAACTTATGAGTAGTAGTTCGTATAGTTGGATAGATCTATATATATATACATAGAATCGAACAAAAGTCTATGATGTATTAAGTGATAAAAGGAAGTTACAGAATTTTTTTTTAGAGTTGTAGAATCATGTTTATGGTACATATTTTTATGTATACTAAATACCAGTATTTCTAAGTAGACAGATCGTTCCTCAATTATAAGTTGGTTCCCCCCATATTTTAATATTTACGAAATCAGAATTTACCTTACAATCAAAATATGCATCTAGTGAAATGTTTCTTTGTTCTCTCTTCAAAAAACTCTTAGTGATATATAAGTCTTGTAATTGAGGGTGAGTTCAAATAAAAGATATGTATACAAGTCAGCAAATAACAATTTTGTGACTTTAAAAAAAACTACACCAGAGTTGATAAGTTTTAAGCCCCTTTTCTTGATTCCATGTTACATTCAAATAAAGTCAGTCTCAGGAATGTGTATCTACCTATAGAAATTCATTATTTGCATATATTTGCATATCACTCAGTATAATTAAATGCTAGTTCCTTAAACCTAGGAAAGCTCTTTATTGTTAAAATAGCACTAACAAGAAATGTTGGAAGTAGAGAGCCTTCTGTCACCTCTCAACGTCACATGAACAGGAATACATGATAATATATACATTATTATAGAGTTCTTATAGTATGTGAGGAACTGGCCTAAGCACTTTTTATACATTGTCTTAACTTTTACAATAATGACATAAAATAAATCCAATATATTAAGCTCAACTTATAAGTAAAGATAATGAGGCTTGAAGATTAAAAATTAGGCTGAGTCTATAGCTGGTTTAAAGCAGTGGTAGGAATCTGACCCATCTCTGCCATCTCAGAGTTCATCTTTAACCACTGTACTGCTTCTTTTTCACTTCTTCTAGCTCCAGTCCCTTGATCAGAGAAATAGTATAAATGTACCTGGAAATTCGTGTCTATGTTCACCTGTGATTAAGCCAGAGTATTCCCCAGACAGAAGAATGAGCAGTAACACAAAGGAGACCCCTGTAAGGAATTTATTGTAAGGTCTCTCAAAAGAAAATGGGCTCATGAGGCCCTACTTCCCCAAGAATGCACCAGCGTCTGAGTAGGGCCCCTTGGGAACAACACTATTTCCAAGGGGTGGCAAACCTTAGCCCTGGTCTACATCTAATTAAGATTTTGTCAGGTCTGCTCCTATTTAGATTACCAAGGTCTGTGCAGCCTAAAAGGCATGTTACCTTCTTAGAAGCTGAGTGGAATGAACAAAATCAAATTAATGTGATTTACCAGTTGATTCAGTATTTATAAGCAGACGGCTTGTTGGCTTCAGAAGTGAGTGTTGGTATCAGCAGAGCTGAAGATATTCAGAGAGATTAAAAATAAATGGCTGAAAAATGAGTCTCAAAACCCCTTAGTGCCAACTCAGATCATTTGTTTTCATAAATCATCTCAGTGTTCCAATTGCACATGTTAAAATAATTTAAAACTAACTTTGCACCACCTTTTGATCTGAAGTCATAACAAGTGGCTGCCACTGAAGCACGTGAAAAATTAAATGTCTCCATTTCTTCTGGAACAGGGCACGACCAAATTGCTCCATCGTAAATTTTAACATTCACAATTCAGTGCTCTGTAGGGACTGTGTTCAATTTGCTAGATTCTGCAACCACGGAAACCAGAGAACAAAGAGTTCCAGGGCAGACAAGCTGGAATGAAAGCCTTTTCCAAGTAGCACCAGTTTCAGGGGAGAGAACAAGAAAGAGAATATCTGTGTCACCAGTGTTTGGGGTGGGAGGAGTATTAGCTGACACCATTTATTCCCTAGTATTCATTCAGCTATCATTCTCTGCCAGTACATCCCCACTTAGTACTCAATATGAATCTCACAGTTTCTTATCACCTGTGGTTTCTTCATATGTCTGCCCTTATTCCCTTCTCTTATCCTTGGTACCAGTCCCAAAGCCTAGAGAATCAACAATCCTAGTTTGTTTTCCATTGATATTATTGCAATCCTAAGAAGTGGACATGATCATATTATGCCTCTGCTTTATTTTCTTTATTTTTTAATTGAAAAATAAAAATAGCATATAGTGATGTATACAACATGATGTTTTGATAGATGTATATATTGTAAGATAGGTAAATCAAGGTATTTAACACATGCATGAACACCTACACTTATTTTTTTGTGATGAGAATAGTTAAAATCTACTCTCTTAGCAATTTCTATATAAAATATGTTGTGATTAATAGAAGTAACCATGACGTACAGTAGATCTCTTGAACTTATTTGTACTATCTCACTGAAATTTTGTGACTTTTGGCCAACATCTTTCCAGTTCCCCACCCCACAGCCTCTGGTAACCATCATTCTATTCTGTTTCTATGAGTTTGACTTTTTCACAGTCCACATATAAATGAGATCCTGCAGTTTTTGTCTTTATGAGTCTGGTTTACTTAACATAATGCCTTCCAGCTTCATAAATGTTGCTGCAAATAACAGGATTTCTTTCTTACTAAGGCTAATAGTATTCCATTGTGCATATACAGTATAAGACATTTTCTTTATTCATTGATGGACACCTAGGTTGGTTTTGTATGTTGGCTATTGTGAATAGTGCTACGATAAACATGGGAATGCAGATATCTCTTTCACTTACTGATTTCATGTCCTTTGGATATGTATTAAGCAGAAGTGAGATTGTTTGGTCACATTGTAGTTCTATTTTTAATACTTTAAGGAAGCTCCATACTCTTTTCCATAGTAGCTGTACTAACTTACATTTTCATGAAGAGTGTGCAAGGGTTTCCTTTTCCCCACATTCTCACCAACACTTATCTTGTCTTTTTGGTAATAGCCATTCTCACAGATATGATGTGATATTGCATTGTGGTTTTAATTGGCATTTCCCTGATGACTAGTGATGTTATATGTTCTTGCTTTAAAATAGTGGCTGGCTCCTTATTACCTACAGAATCAAGTTCAAATCTGTTAGCACCTTCACAAGATGATCAAGACACATTCGTAGAATGAATAGAAAAGGGAAAGATGAGGCAGAGACAGGGAACAAACGATAAAGATCAAAGGTCTTCTCCATAAAACATTTCAAAGGGAAGTAATACATATTTCCAATTATAAGCATTCTCATCTGTTATTTACCAGATACATACATCCAACTGAACAACTCATTTTTAAAGCCCATTTTATTTCAGCAGTGTTCAGACTTAGATTTTGAGTTAAAACGCAATTTTCTTGCTTCTTACAAATTAATGTGTTTTTACATACCTGGATTTGGGGTTAATGGAATTCAGCATGGAAAATTTATACAAGCTGCATGATAAATCTCTAGTAAAAAAAAAAGAAAAAATCTGAGAGTCTCACCACAAAATATCCACATGTGATAGAGAAGATCAATAATAATCACTGTCTGTGGAAATATCAGAAGAGTAAAGAGAAAGAAAGATAGAAAAAAAAAAAAAAAGAAAGAAACCACCAAGGCAGGGTTACCTTAAAAGAGAACTATTATAATCTCATGAAAATATCAATTGCCTGATGCTGCAAAAAAAATGTTTTCTTTTCTGGACATGCACAAAATGGTACAGAGCTCAATGCCAAGATTCTAACAGCCCAAACTAAAATGTCTATCATTAATTCCATAAGTAATGAAGTATCTATCATTAAGGGTCTCCATTTGCTGGAGATTTATTGCAGCAAAGAGGGGCAATATGGAATTAAAAACTCTGCTATTTATCAATGAATTTGGGGAAAGTCACTAATATATAATTCAGACTTCTTTTCTGTAAAAAATTAACATATCAGGATGCTTTATAATTTAATATTGAAATTATTTTATAATATGTGTCTCTGTCCTATGCCTTCACTGCTCCATTCACAAGAATGAGATAATATTTATTTTTCTTCTTTTAAGAAAAATAACCAGGCCTTGTGTTTACAGTTATGGACTCCCTGCCCTGGAAAGTAATTAATTTTTTTATGTGTCTTGAAACCTAAAAACAGGCATTACCATGAGAATCTAGGGTAACTAGAGCACTGAAGCTTAAAGAAAACCTCCACTCAGGGCTTTGTTAATGCTAGTATTTAAAAATTAAAATACCTACAGGGGCTATAACATAAATGTGTGAATTATTCTGGATAATCCTGTAGTGAGCCTGTGGCCCAAACTGGGGAGTCCAATCTCTCTCTTAAAGGATTCAAGCTCAAATATTTACCATAACCTTCCTCATAAAATGTGCAGAATTTGGCATTCTGCTCCTGTTTGGAGTGTGTTGAGTCTCATCGAGAGGATAAAGCTGCCTGCGCTACAGGAAGGGATTGGCAGCTGTCTGGTTCTGAGGTTAGAGAAGGTCAAGGTGTTAATCATGTAGGAGATAGTTTGGGGGTCCGAGATTGGGGTTTTAGGATTCCATGGTCACAGAGAGCAGGACTTCAGTTGAATGTGATACAGTGTGATGGGGAAAGGTAGTGGCTCAAGTGGGGATGGCAGCATGGGATCCTTGGGCCAGGTGATAGGACCCCACGGCAGTACCGGACAGACAGGAAAGGCCCAGCTCTCAGCATGGCAGGCAAACAGTGGGACCAGCACAGACTGAAGACCAGGCCCTTCTCCATCTTCTGGGCTAAGTCTGGAGGTAGGTATAGGATACAAAGAGGTGAGAAGATCCATAAAATTGCCTACTATTGGACAAATTTGCCAATCTTAGTGAATGAGGGCTTAACGCTGGATTTAATTCAATTCGGAAAAAAGAAATGATTGTGACATTCCTACACTGTATAGCATCTATAACTTTTTCAGGAATGATAAAAATCATAGCAGCCATTTGTCAACTACTTGTGTATTTCACATATATTACTACATTTAATACTGAAAAATTCTACCTGCTAAATGCCATTGCTGGGGCACAGAGAGGTGAGCTTGCCCAAGCTCATGTAGCTGGCAAAGGGGTAGAGTCAGACTTCAAATCCAGGTGGTCAGAATTACAGAGGCCACACATGTAAACCCTGCAAAGCACCACCTCTTGGGCTTACAGGACAGTGCCTTCCTCCCAAGATGGTTTTCAGTTTCAAAGTTTATGAAAGAATTAGGAGAGACGTATAAAAATATTTCATTTATTTTATTCTTAAGGTCTGCAATCTGAGGCCCAACAGCCCAGATTAACGTGATCCTAAACCCTCTTCCTGTGAACCACAGGCTCCTGATGTGGAGAAGAAAAGGCAGGCACAGCCCAGCTTTGAAAGCAAAAAACTTAGAAGCCCTCACCTCCACAGACCTGTTTTTGCCTTTCCCACAGGATTTCTTTTTAGCCCCCTGAACCTACTCCCTTCCAAATTCTGGAACTGCATTTACAATAGGAGATAGTGGGGCTGGTAGGTATTAGTCAAGATTGCTGCAGCAAGGGTCAGCCTTCTCTAAACAGGATTGTGAACTAGAATAAACAAACACAAGTCAATATTTCTTAAGCTCAAGGAGTCTATTAAAAAATACATTTTGAGATCCTAGAATCCTCTAGGAGAATTTTTTTTAGTGTCTTAATTTCAGTTAAAATTTTTGAAAATAACAAAGCATGTTCTTAATTATTCAGAATACAATATCTTTGTAACTGACTCTGGCCATAGGAGTGAGTATGGAAAAATGAGAAGCTGCAGGTCTTCTCAAACAGGGAAAAGAAACAATTTATTTGAGTTCCTCAAGTTCTCAAACTTGAAAGGCAGTTCAATTACTGACCAGCTCAATGGGCTGAAGTAACATGATGAGGAAGATGGGTAGAGTACTTTGGAAAAGCATTGAATTCAGAGTCAGACATCATAGCTGGGCTATTTACCAGCTGGTGACTTAAAGCAAGGCACTACATCTCCCTAGGCCTCATTTTTATTTCTCATCTTTAAAAGTTGGAATGATGATGGTGATGATAACTATGATAGAGATAATAATAATAAGGCCAGCTATATCTCAAATATCAAATGTCTTATATTTCAAGTGCTTTGTGGTGCTATAGACAGATAACACTAGAAATAGAAACACATATATGCCTTGTGGGAGATGCTGAAGGGAGAAGAGTCAGCAAACTGGTGAGCAGAACAAATGAGAGGACACAAATTGGGTGAAGGAGGTAGAAAGACAGGAAAGTCATAGTCATTGGAATGTGGATAAAGAAAAGAGTCAAAGAGTGGAAGTAAGTTATATCCCCAGAGAAATCAGAAAAGGTTTACATGCAGAAACTAGGTTAGGCAGCAAACAGCTACTGTGCTGCCTGTGTATACCTAGGGTATGAGAACTAAAAGAATGTGGCTGGAGGCACCAGGACATGAGGTCAGCTACTGCACCAGCTGCTGTGCAGAGAAGAGATGGCAGCTCACCTGGGGCAGATCTCAGCAGGGTCGTTTTGGTCACTCTTGAGCCTAACGCATGCTCCCACGCAGAAGAGGTCCCCCTAGATGAGAAAGTTTGCCATCCCAAAGTAGAAGCCTCCAGCCTCGATGTGGGCCTGGAAAGGGACAGCTGTCAGTGCATTCAGTGCACTTCTGAAGAATCCCAGGCTCAGCCTTTTCACTTGCTGTTTCCTCTGCCTGAAATCCTCTTCCTTCAGCTTCTCATGAGTCTGGTTTCTTCTCATCTAGAGGCTTTCCTGACACCCGTCCCTGAAGCCAACCTCCTCTACCACTCCCATCACATCACCTGTTTATTTCCTCCACAGTACCTGCCTTGGTTTTATATTTGCTTTTTTTTTTTTTTTTCTCCCAGAGGAAGTCTCACTCTTGTCCCCCAGGCTGGAGTGCAATGGTACGATCTCAGATCACTGCAACCTCCGCCTCCCCAGTTCAAGTGATTCTCCTGCCTCAGCCTCCTGAGTAGCTGGGATTACAGGCACTTGCCATCAAGTCTGGCTAATTTTTGTACTTTTAGTAGAGACGGGGTTTCACCATGTTGGCCAGGCTGGTCTCGAACTCCTGACCTCAGGTGATCCTCCTGACTCAGCCTCCCAAAGTGCTGGGATTACAGACATGAGCCACTGTGCCCAACCAGTTTTGCATCTACTTCTTTAATGTCAGCCTCTCCTACCAAACTGTGTTGTCCAATACAGTAGCCATTAGTTTCATGTGGCTATTTAAATTTAAATGTATTGAAGTCAAATAATTCTATCCACTACCCACAGCTTATGTGCTCAATGGCCACATGGGGCTACAGGATACTACATTGAACAGTAAATCATTTCCTAATGTAATCTAATCACATTAGAACATTTCCATCATCAAAGAAACTTCTGCTGGAAGAATAAAACTAGACCCCTATCTATCACCATATACAAAAATAAAAGTCAAAATTATTAAAGACTTAAATCTAAGACCTCAAACTATGAAACTACTACAAAACACATTGTGCAAAATCTCCACGACTTTGGTCTGGGCAAAGATTTCTTGAGTATAGTTACAAGCATAGGAAACCAAAGGCAACATGGACAAATGGGATCGCATCAAGTTACAAAGCTTCTGCACAGTGAAGGATACAATCAACAAAGTGAAGA